TGCCAGTATCTTATAGGCTACAGGTAATAGAGTAATGGGCCTGTAGTTTCTTATGTCCTCCCTGTATCCTTTCTTATACAGAAGGGTGACCACCGCGGTGCTTACCTCTGCCCCTAAGGATCCTTTTTTGAAGGCTTCCTGAAAAAAATTAAAAAGGTCTTCGCCCATTACTTGCCAGTTTTCCACCCGAAATTCTTTGGTCAGTCCGTCAATTCCGGGAACTTTATTTGGTTGCAAACTCCTCAGGGCTTCATATAGCTCTTGCTTGGTGAGGTCTTTGTCAAGATACTTCGCCGCTTCTGGTTCTATGGTTACCTTCAAGTGTTTTAGGAATTTGTCCCTTGCTCTAGTCACCTCTCCTTGGTCAAGCTCCTTTGACCTTGATATGTAGAGGTCTTGATAAAAGTTTGTAGCTACCTTGAGGATTCCTTCTTGGGTGGTGAGCATAATACCTTGGTTGTTTTTCAACCCGAGTATTCTGCTTTTTCGACAGTTTGACTTGATTTCTTGGAAAAAGTACTTGGACATAGTCTCATTGCTTTCCCAATCCTTCACCCTGGCTCTGATTGCTAGGCCCTGTCTATTCCAGTCCGCCCATTTTCTGAGTTCTTCCCTCGCCTCTTCCAACAATTCTTCATACATGGGTTGTCTTGGGTTATCTATTAGATTGAATTTTGTTGTCTCTANATTTTCTGAGTTCTTCCCTCGCCTCTTCCAACAATTCTTCATACATGGGTTGTCTTGGGTTATCTATTAGATTGAATTTTGTTGTCTCTACCACGACCTCGAGCATCTCTTGTCTTGCCTTTCTTTTTTTGGCTTCTACTTTAGATGCTTTACTTAACCATCTGCTTAGATCTGAGATTGCTTTAGGTAGCATTTTGTTATCCCTATGGTATCTACTTCTCGTTTGTGGTCGTCCCAAACTTGTTTGACCCCTCTTTTGAAGTGTTCCAATGTTATTAGAGAATTGTTTAGTTTGAAGAAAATTTTACCTGGTGTATTATTGAGTGAGAAGGTTAGATGTAATCCTATTTGGTTATGGTCGAAACCCCCATAGTAAGGTAGTTCAGATATATTAGAGCTTTTGACTGCTCCCTCTCAGGATTCTGAGGTGAGGAAGTAGTCTATTCGGGAGAAGGAGGTTCTACCTTGGGTGGTTTTTCGTACATGAGTGTAGTCCTTTACAAGTGGGTTGAACATTCTATATGGGTCCCTTAAGTCTTTCTCGGTGAGGAATTCTAACATTATGTGAGCTTCAGATTCATCTTGAATGTCTCTAGCATGTGAGATTCTATCGATGGTCGGATCTAGAGTGGCATTCCAATCTCCTGCCAATATTAGGTGTCTGTGGGTAGGACACTCTTGCTTTATTGTTTTTAGGAAAATTCTTCTTTGGGCATTCGTGTTTGGGGCGTAGGTGTTGATAATGGTTATTTCCTCTTCCTTGTATGTGAGGTCTAACCTTATCCATTTGCCTTCTTGTGCGCCTCTTTTCGACTCTTCTATTTGTAAGAACTGTGATCCCTCAAATTTTTCATGCACTAGAGTTAGGACCCCTGATGATGTTGCGTGGGGACTGGCCGCCCATTCTGCGTGTGTTATGTGTCTTAACCTTCTTAAAATTTCCTTCAATATGTTTTGTGTTCTTCTGTCGATGACCAGTGTGTTTCTTGCAAGCATAGGATGTCTGGGGGTCTGTTGTCTTACCATCCACTCATGTCAAAGCTGTACCACTTGGTCTGTGTAGACAATATAGATGCTAGTCCTCTTACATTCCAAGATCTGATTCCTAATTCGCCTCTACCCTTGTTACTTGCCCTAGCAACCCTGCTTCTTAGGGACTCTCTTTCCTCGGGCATTTGATCTGGTTAGAGGTTTGTTGGTTCTGTGCATATCTATTTGTTTAAGAGGATAGGGTGGGTAGTTGCAGGGGTTCTTGGTTCATTGAGGGCTCCCCTGTGTCCTCTCCCAAATCCTGCAATGACTTTTTCAATCCCTTTCCCCCTTTGCTGAAAATTCTTGCTGCAAGTGCTGTTGCCACACCTGCTGTTGTTGAGACCATTGATGTTTCTGTCCCCAGTGCAGTGAATGGGAGTTGTGCTATTTCCCACCATGGTTTTCACTGCATTTCTTCTCCCAACACAGTGTTTGACCCATATAAGGCGAGTATTGGTCTGGTGTCCAAGCTGACCCCTTCCTTTGTCTCTCCCCTCCCCCAGTTCATGCACCTTCAGGGGCTCTCCCACGAGACCAATTGCTATTGGTTTGACACTTGGTATGGCTTTGGACAAAAACTCGTTTTTGTCCCTTTTCAAGCTTAAAGAGGGCGAAGCTTGGGGAAGTTGCAATCTGCCGTTCTTTGGTGGCTGCATCTATTTTCACTGGGATCACTGTTCGCGTGGGAAGCAGCGTTTTGCTCTCTTGCTTTGCTCTCTCCAGAAGGCAAAATGTGATTGGTCGTTGAGCCCTTTCACTGTGAGTGGCTTGAGCATGAGCTCGTGGTTGAGTCGGGACAGTCTATCCACTTGGATTCCAGTATTTGTGCTTGCAGTACTAAGTGGTTTCTTTCAACCTCTTCGTTGTTCTCATCCTCCTTGTTGATCCCTTTCCCCTTGATCTGTTCTTTTTTTTCTGTCTTGTTCTTTCGACTTCCTCTCCTCCCTGTTTTGGGATCCTTTTTTGCGGCTTTTCCTTTTCTTTCTGTTGTATGTTCCGGGGAGTGTTGACATTTTGAATCCGTCTTTTCTCCAGTTGCTCTCTTTCTTCATAGTTGGTTCTTTGTCCTTCAAGGTTTGTTCCTTTTTGGACTTGCAGTACTGTTCAGCATAGAAAGCTGTCAGTTATTCTTCTTTCTCCAGTAGGGCGTATGGGTTGATTGATAGAGGGAAGGGATGCGTGGGATCTCTCGCGCCCGCCTTTTGTCCGAGTTTTCCTTCCTCTCTAAAATAGGCCATTTGCAGCTCAAATCTTGCTTCCCTTTCTCTTTTTGCTTTCCGAATGTAGATCTTTAACTCCTCCAAAGAGTGATCAGCCCATGGCTCGCAATCTTCCTTGCTGGATAGCTCTCTGTCCTTTCTATTCTCTCCTGTTCCTTTCGTTTGTACTCTTTTGGTTGTTATCCCCTTGCCTTCCTCCGGACTCTTTCGTTTTCCTCCCACATTTACTTTGCCTTCTTCGTCTCTTTCTTGTTGATCCTTCTTGTTGTCCCCCTACACCATTGTTGGGCTGTCCGTTTCCATTTCTATTGTGTCTTCTTGCTGTTGTGTTTGACTTGTTCTTGATCTTCTCCTTGTGTATGTTGACAGCACCTTGCCTTCTTCCAGTTCCATCTCCATTTCTCCTTCCGGTCTTCTCTTTCCTCTCTCTTGCCATTCTTTTTCTGCCATCTCCCCGGTTTCGTTCAGATCAGTGATTAGATCCTTCATGCAACCCTCTTCTTGCATTCTTTCCAGGTTTAGGACTGAATCCCTGGTAAATATTTTGGCAGACTTTTTTTCCATCTTCATCGTGTGCCATCTGCTGTCCGATGGGGGGTAGACATCAGGTCTGGGGGTAGGTTCTCCCTCCAATACCCAGACCCAATCTGGGTTTGGGAGGTTGTTGTTGAAGACCGACCCGATGTACTGAGGATTTCTCACGTACCAAAAGCCCGGTTCCCCTTCCACTTTTGCCAAGCATGTTTGTCTCAATACTTTGGGCTTGGCTGTCTCCACATTCTTCGGACATCTTGGATTAGTTCCCAAGTGCCCTCGTTGTTTGCATTTGAAGCATAATGGATTGCTTTTGGAGGAGACTGTCACTTTGACCGTTTTGTCCCTCACTACGAAAAACCAGTAGTCAGGTAACTGTGGTGGGATGCCATTTCCCAAATCCAGACACACGGTCATTGTGTTGTACTGTGGGACCAGGAAATCCGGAGTTGCTAGGATCCAATCCACAACCTCGAATTGGCCGTATTCCAACTGCAGTCTTTGTTTGATTCCCCCGTGCAAACCTTCGAGTACATTATCGAACTGAATCCAGAAGTACGTTTTCATCAAGGATTGTCTGAATCGGGAGGGGGTCATTTGGAAAGGAGTGTCTGGTTTCCATGGGTGGACCGTGACTGCTGAGGAATTACACGTGAATGTTTTGTTCCTCAAGAAGTATGCGTAGGTTGGGTCTTTGCAAATGACTATGATCACGCTCCTGGTCCGTGGATGAAAGGAAACTTTTGGTTCAGCCCCCTGGATGGATTCCATGCTTTTCAACTTCTTCCACATCCATTTGAGCTTGGCCGGGCGGTTCAGTTCTTGACTTTTCCGAGAGAATGTAAAAAGGACTGCGTGTTTTTTGTGGAATTCGTCCAGCTTTGGTATGTGCTCTTTCATATATTCATACACTACCACCTCTTCTCTTTTGTTCTCTTGCACTTCGATCAATCTCACTGTCTTGACCAGTTCCGTTTTTGTCTGTTCTGCCAATCAATTCTGGGTTTCGATTCCCATGTCCTCCATCTTGTTCCTCCTTCGTGAGAAGTCGTCAAATTGAAAGAAAGAATGAATAGTAATTCAATGAATGAGAAAATGAAATAAAGATGAATTTAAGAAGAAATGTGGCAAAATCCGGATCGAGATTCCCCTCCCCGCTTGGGGATCAGTTGTTGCTTTCTGAGGGGTAATGAGAAAAGGGAGGAATGAGTATGGTGACAAAAGAGTTTCTCTTGAAATAGTAATCAGAGCAAAGGTGAGAAAAATAGGGTTACGTCCAAAGGAATTTTTCTCTGAGTACGGACGCCGCCCGGCGGGGCCTGCCCAGCTGGGCTACGCCCGGCCGGGCGGGGCCCGGGCAGGTCGCCTGGGCAAACCGGGCGGGCCAAAAAACAGCCCAGAATTTTTTTTTTTTTTTTTTTTGAGGGCGGGGTCGTACCTGTCTCTTATACACATCTAGATGTGTATAAGAGACAGCGGCTGGGCCTAGCGACATGGGACGGGTATCGTGAAATCCCATCGGTTCCATTGATTCGTCGGACTGGTCGCAAGCGCTCATCCTCTCTGAGAATTGCGGCTATGGCTATGGACAAGATAGGGTCGGAGTTCATGATGAAGAGCAACCCTGCGTTGATTAGCTCATTGCCACGTCATCCAGCTCCGACTCTTCCACCACGTGATTACGTGATTGACATCAGAGAGATGGGAGGCGTGGGCGACGGGTTGACCCTCAATACTGCAGTTTTTGAGCGAGCGATATCGGCTATACAGGCACATGGTGGGGGGCAGCTATTCGTACCTCCTGGCCGTTGGATCACCGGACCGTTCAATCTCACCTCACACCTCACGCTCTTCGTTTCCAGAGGAGCAATCATTCTCGGTAGCCAGGTAGCTTGCACTCACCCCCGCCTACTTCTTTCTTCTTCTTCTGCTTCTTCTTCTGCTTCTTCTTCTGCTTCTTCTGCTTCTTCTTCTGCTTCTGCTTCTTCTGCTTCTTACTTCGTTCAGTGCATACGGAGATGGTTGTAAATCTGTGAAGGCATGTGCAAATGATAATGACTCTGGCCTCTGNAGAAGAAGATGATGGGCGGAAGAGGAGGAGGAGGAGAGAGGAGGAAGGAGAATAAGATGAGGGGGAGGCGGAGGAGGAGAGAAGAAGAAGAAGAAGAAGAAGAAGAAGAAGAAGAAGAAGAGGGAGGCAAGGCGGTAGGGTATGGTGGCGACAAGGCGGTAGGGTCCTTTTTTTCTTACCTGTCGTTTATCTCGCGACCTATCGCTGACGAATGGAACAAAAAAAAAAAAGATAGTCGGAAGAGGAGGAGGAGGAGAAAAGAAAAAGAAGAAGAAAAAGAAAAAGAAGAAAAAGAAAAAGAAGAGGAAGATGATGATGATGATGATGAGAGGGGGACGGGCGGCTCCACGGCGACGGGCGACGGGCGGCTCCACGGCGCGGAGACTCCAAGATGCTGGCGACGGGCGACGGGCGGGTCCACGGCGACGGGGGAGTGAAGCTCCCAGGCGATGGCGACGGGCGGCTCCACAACAACGGGCGGCTGAACCACGAACTGCGCCGGCGGGGGAAGACCAAGGCCCCGTTTGGACAGCCGATGCAGGCCGCGGCAGCAAGTCGGCTGTTCAAACGGGTCGTCGTTTTCCCTCCAAACATCAAACGGCCCTCTGGCCGTCGATCATGGATGATCGACGGCTGGAGGGCCGTCACAATTTCAAAAAAAAAAAGCTGGCCTCACGGGCCCGACTCGCCTTTTTTCAGGCCTGGTCGGACCCGGTAGGCCCTGGGGACCCCAGCTGACGGCGATTCGGGGTCTGAACCCCCCCCCCCCGACAAGGTGTGCTGGGGGTGCCCGGCCCCCAACCGGGCCGCCCGCCCGGCCAGGCCGCCTGGGACCTCCCCCGGGCAGGCGCTGGTCGACCGGGCGACCCGGATCCGTACTCAGATTTTTCTTTAAAAAAAAAATTAATGAAAAAAATAATAAATAAATAAATTAATAGCTGGAGTGAAGGTGAAAAATACGGGCAACGTTTTCCTCCCCACGAGCGTTTCACCGCGAAAGGGTAAAAAATACTAAAAATCTTATTCCTCCTTCATGAGGGGTTACGAGTTGCCTTCGTCCAAATGAATGAAAGAATGAATAATAATTCGATAAATAAGAGAGTGAAATAATGATGAATTTAAGCAAGAATGTGGCAAAAATTCGGGCAGAGATTCCCCTCCCCGCTTGGGGATCGGTTGTTCTGTCCTGAGGGGTAATGGGAAAAAGGGAGGAGTGAATATGATGCCAAATGAGTTTCTCTTGAAAATGGTCACTAGAGCTAAGGTGAGAAAGTTAGGTTACGACAAAAGGATTTCTCTTAAAATTAATAACCAGAGACAAGGTGAAAATAATCGGACAGCGTTTTTCCTCCCCACCTGGGGAACGAGCTTTTTACCGCGAAAGGGGAAGGACAAAATTGGAGGTGAGCTGACATGAAATCGGGAATGCTCAATGCTAGCTGTTAAAAATCGGGGAAATATCTTTCGTGTCTGCTTAAGGTCAAAACAATAATTCGTTGGAAAGACAATGATTGCTAGTGACTTAAGAAAAGACCCAAACTGTGCTCGGTGGGAAGTGATACGATGTTTTGGCGGATTTTGCTTGCTGGTGGAGGAATTTGTACATGTGCTAGGGACTGTGTGTGTGGGAAACCCGTGGGTGTCGGATGGGCTTTTTCTGAAGGCTTCCGCGGGTTCTATTGCCGTGCTGTGTTCTCCTATTCCTCTTTCTCGTTCTTTGTTCCTATTCCCCTTCTGGAATAGCGGACACTTCCTAGTTTGATCAATCCCTTATTTCCCCCGTGTCTGTCTCTGGATATTACGCCCTAGCGAATTGCTTCCCTTACTCGCTTCCTCGGTCTTTTATCGTCCGGTTGATCCTTTTATTTTTCCCTTCCTCTGCCCTATTCCTATCTATATGAAGGTCGTTCTGTGCTCTCTAGTTTTACGGTTCTATTCGTCGTTTATTTCTGCCCTATTCCTATTCTGTCTCGTATTTCACCCTCCCGCTTTCGCTGTTGTCTACCTACGCTTGTCTAACTAGGTCTATTCCTCTCGCTGCGCTCCTCCAGATTTTCTGTCCTCGTCCTTGCCTTCATAGATCTGCGACCTTTGCGATTCTTCCGATCTCCTGAGAAAGGGGTGTGTTCGACCTTCGTCTCTTACCTTATTTGGGAGGTCTGCTCGTCGAGGCGTGTTGTTCTTCTTACCTCCGATCCTTTTGGACCCTCATGTCCTTTTCTGGTTCTGTGTTGCTTCCCTTTGCTCATTCTTGAGTGTGTTTCTGTGCGCTTGCTTGTCTTTAGGCAAAAGTCTCGTTATTCTGTCCCATTCCGTAGGAGATCGGTTGCCGCGCTCATAGGCGCGGCCCTCTTGATTGTGACGTTCCTACCCTTTCGTCCCCTATTCCGTTGTGGCCTTACGTGCCCAGCTATGACCATCTTCGTTCCAAAGTTCTAAAAAAAGAGCGTCTTTGGTGTGCGATTGAGGCACCGTGCGGCGAAAATTGCCCTGCACCACTTTCGCGTTGCGGCGCTGCGGCAGTCGCGTTTGCGCTCACCGTACGGTGCTTGCGCTCCCTTCTCACCACCATGGGCGAACTTTAACTTGATGATTTTTGTATTCCAAGGACTGCATCTTCATCAGGTTCATCCTGTCATTCGGGTGGATAGTTATGACTGTGATACTGCTTGGTCCAGTTGTTTCCACCAGAAAGTGATCATCCACCGCTTGGTCGTCTGTTTTGATGGTCCTCAATTTCCCCTGCACCCAAACGCAGTTTGTTGTTGATGGATGAGGCCCCTACATCTTGGGGGAAAATAAACTGCACAGCATTATGGGAGTAGATTTAGTTCCTGTTCGCCATCGCCTGTGGGGGGAAAATGGCGTGGGGATAGATGTACCCATCTTTCTCAATGTATTTCTTTTCTGGGCGGATATGGAGCTTTTGAATGAAATGTGCTTTCATCAGTCCAATGGCATCCAGAGTGACTGCTTCCTCAGTCTGCTTTGTCCCTGCCGTGGCAAGGGCTTGCATGAGGGCTTGGACATCGCGAGGCGCTTGATGATGATGATGATGATGATGATGATGATGATGATGATGATGAGGAGGAGGAGGATGAGGATGCTGCAGACTCCGTACAGGTCTGGGGTGGCCTTTCCTCCACACCTGGAGCGGGTGGTTCCCGGGGGAAAGGTGTGCGTCTTGGGCAAAGCATCTCCCTGTACAAGCCACTGATTCCCTCAGGCCTGGCGGTGTCGCGGTTTCCCCATTCTCCCTCTGCATGGTCACCGCCCCGCCCAACATTGGCGTGACCATTGGCCTGGACACTTACCGTGTGTGGGGGTGGTCTAGCCAGACGCTCTTGCTGCTGCCCGTCCATTTGACTCCCTTCCCCTTCCGTTCCCGGGGGGGGGGGGGTGTCAGGATCGAGGGGCTGGAGATCGTGGGGAACCTGATCCCATTCTTTCTGGATCGTCCCCGGTGGTCCTTCCTTGGTTAGTGGGGGGAGTTGTCTCTTTCTCGTCACTCCCCCACTTTTCCTCCTATATTTTCTCCTCCTCATCCCCTTGGCGATTGTAAGCCATCCGAATGGTCATTGCAATGACGTCGTGATTGTGTCTGTGTCGTTTTGAGTCAGTTCTTAATCTGTGGAGTAGTGCACCCCGGCAGGTGCAGAGAGCACTGACTTATCCAACGGTTGTATCAATGTTGTGTTAATGTTATTTGGTAACGCGCAGAATGCATTTTGGTTTGTATCCCGCTTTCACATACAGGAAGGCATGGTGGGCTGATCGATGGCATAGATCAACCTCAGCCTCAGTTTCAGATAACCGCTTGCGTGTCGACGACTCAGGTGAAGGTAATAATCAGGGGGATTGTGTAGGGTAGGGGACCGGGGAGGAGTTGGTCGATGCGAGAGCGGGTGCGCCGGCCAGGATCGGCCTCACCTGCCACCCTGCAAGGGTGGCTGTCGTCCTCGCTGTCTGCTTATGCCTTCCTTAACGCTCCTCGTCACCCAGGATTGGTCCTGTTCGTCTCCTATCCTCCCGGTCAGCTTCTCCTGGCACCACCGCCTTAGTACGCCCCCCCCTCTCCACTTCTGTGTTCCATCGACAGGTCTCTTTCCGTCATGCGGCATCCTACATGTCACATTGCCTCTCCCTGATGATGTCGCCCAAGTCACCTTTCCTGCCCTCCTACTCCGTTCCTTCACCGATCTGCAAGTTTTCTTGACCTGTGTTACTCTCAGTCGTCACGTTTTCTTCTCCCTTGCTCCACGTGGACGCATCCGAGGGGGGTTACCCCGGGCTGTGCAGAGATGCTATGGCCACGGGTTTCCCTCGCCTACCTCGATCTTACCGAGTCAGTCAGCAGGAGTGCAGCCGGGCCTCCCCGTACCGGTCCTGCTAGCGCGTCCTCAACAAAAAACAGTCCACTAGCCATCAGGAATCTCAAGGGATCATTGTGTTTGCTCGTTCTCATCTCCTCACTCCTGAAAGATGTCTCCAGGATGTTAGTGTAATTAATTATCAAGGTTCATTCAATTCATTTGCAGCTGGGGTGGATGACGAAAGGTAGGAGGTTAAGAGGGGGAGATGTTGGGGCTATGTGCATTGTTTATGGGACACTGTTTGTCTAGACCCTATACTGAGAGTGTTTTGGAGGTAGGTAGGTGGGTACGCACATGTTTATAGGTTGAAAGTTGCACCATATACAGATGTTATGACCTGGCGTTCTATTCGGTTGAAGATGGAGTTTCTTTCCTATGTCAAGGGCTGGTAAGGTTTTGCGCGTTGTATCGAATTAAACCACATGCTCCACCGGTTGTGCAGGCCCCCGTTTCCTTTTGAGTTTCAGCCTTGCCACCGTACAACTCCCCAGGCGGAGTGCTTAACGAGTTAGCTAGGTCCCTCATCGAATCGCCCCCAAAAACCACCCGGGCGTAGACCAAGGACCAACACTCATCGTTTATGGCATGGACTACCAGGGTTATCTTTTTGAATTTAAATAATGGAATGGACTATATCATTGTCTGAGTTTTTGTTTTGATTGCAATATCTTCTTCTTCTTCTTCTTCTTCTTCTTTTATTTTTTTATTTTTATTTTTTATTTTTAACCCTTGTGCAAAACCTCTATCCTTGGTGCCACTGGGAGCCTGCTCATATCGCCCACAGTAGCACCGCCTACGGATGTCTATATAAATAATCCGGAATGTGGCGTGGCATGCCCGCAAGGGCCACAAGAAAAAGAAAAGGTGGTATGCCATACCCAGTTGCTAGTTGGATTGGGACCTGTCGATGAAAATGAGTTCGGGGTGCCTAGCCCACACTGTTGAATGACACACACACATGTTAACTGTTGATGAACAGAACCTGAGTTCGAGCCCGGTGAAATCAAACAGATACAGTAATGACGAAAGAAGGGAAAGAGTTTGGGTCCTTTGGGACCCGACAAAATGGCTGAAAAATTCTGATGGAGCATGTTTGGTGGCTTCGTGGGGCTGGCTTCTATTTATTGTGCAAAAAACAGGTGGAGGGGAAATTGATGGGCAAGGTTGGTGGTGGTGGGCAGCCTTTCGCTCTAATCTGCTAAAATACTCGAGGGGTAGCTTGATCGAATTCCTTTGGTCATCTAAGATAATTATCTCCAATATCACCCTTCGGAATTCGCCGTTCTGGACTGTTCATCCGGCCTTCTGCTCTGACATTCACATCCATGGTGTCGTAGTGCTTGCGCCTGAGACATCGCCCAACACAGATGCATTCGATCCAGGTACGTTAACTCCTAATTCTCCTCACCCTCCTCTTTCTTCTTTTCCCTCTTCTTATCTCTTCTCGTCCTCCTCCCTCCTCCTCCTCCTCCTTTGTCCTCCTCCTCCTCTTTCCTCGTCTCCTTCTTGCCTTCTTCGCCTTTGTCGTTGTAGTTCCTACTCCATGCTCTTCTTCTCCTTCTTGCCTTTCTCGTCGCTGTCTTGTTCTTTCTTGTTGTTGTCTCGTTCTTCCTCGTCCTTGTCTTCATCTTTCTCCTGAAAAAAAAATCATTGACTGGGGTAGTTGCCCATCGGGCAGGGGTTAAAATCCCTAGCCTAATCGAGGGTTCACTGGTTGTTATGACTCTACTCCATTTGTGGAGAGAAGCACACAATAGTGACTGCTGTGTCCCGAATGAAACGAAACCAGCCTACAGACATAACTTTAGTCAAACCACTACCTTTCTAGTATATGGGGTCGTGGGCCTCTGAATTCAAATTTGGAGCCGGGCGCCACCGATGCAAATTATCGACGGGTTGCCCGGCGGTGATTTTTTTTTTGAGGATCAACCCTTAACTTAGCGTCACAATGAGAAAGGTAGTGAGGGGTCCTTTAAGTCCCTAAATAAAAACTTTTGTCAAGGCCCAGCCAGGATTGATTGCTCCCATAACAGGAGGATTAACTGAATAATGTCTCACAGATGGCCCACCATTCCCTAAGCCTCTTTCTCCTGAGGTAGACAGCCAGGCAGGCAGCTGAGGTGTCCATCCCTTCTTTGGTGCCAATTCCTACTTTGAGGGGGCAGTTTCGCCACCAATTTCTACTAGGTGATATAATCTCCAATGGGGCTCCATATCATTGTTTTTTAACTTTTCTCTTTTTTATGTTTTTGGTTAATAGATGAATGGCAGACGCAAGAAACAAAACAAACACAAAATGGAAAGATGATAGGTAGTCCCATTGACATCCTATCATCTATAAAAGGGCTGGTAATCCCCCCCCCGCCCCCCCCCCCCCC